TGTGGATTATCCATGTGATTTATAAACCTAGGACCCCCTGCCCTATGTTACATTGTTTTATATCAATAAATTCTGTCTTTTCAATTACCCAAAACTCCCCTTTATTTTTTTTACTGCATTATCCCTTTTCCTTGTTTGTTTTTAAATTCCAACATGCTTGTTAGCAACCCTTATGTGTAAATTTATTTGCATACTTGTTTACATTAAAGTCACAATGTAGCATGGCCGGGAACCACACTAGTGGATCTTGAGGGGTGCCTAACACCTTCCCCTCGAGATAATTTCTAGCCCTTACCCGAACTCTGGTTTTCCAATTCAAAATCCTTCTTAGTGTCTTAATGCACTCAATCATTAGGTGGCGACTCTTCAATTCCAAAACCCAATTCCCAAACGGGAATAGAGTTGTCTTCCCGAATGTCGTAAACCCGATTTCGCGATAAAAAGGGGGCGTCGACACCCATTTTATATCTTTTAAAAATTAAGAAGAAATAACATTTAAACAGCGGAATTAACGTAAACGGAAGAAAAACAATAAGCTATCTGAACATGAATATCTAATACAATTGTTTGAGTCTCGACTACCCAGAACTGGTGTCACAGTTTCACAAACGGTCTAAGAATACTACAAATAAAGGTCTGAAAGAAATAAATACAACACTGTCTCTGGAAATGCATGAAAGAAACGGGAATAGTAGATAGAAGAAGACGCCAAGTCCTGCGGACGCCTGCAAGACTACCTCGGGTCGCCTGATGAGCTAGAATCAGCAATCTCATCGCGGTCCGAAGTCTACACCTCTGGGGTCTACACAAAAGAGTGTAGAGTGTAGTATCAACACAACCGACCCCATGTGCTGGTAAGTGCCTAGCCTAACCTCGGCGAAGTAGTGACGAGGCTAGGACCAGACTACCAAATAAACCTGTGCAATTTAACTATATACAGCAGAAAAGAAGTACAGAAAAAAACATTCATATACAGTCAAGTATGGGAGGGGGAAAAACATGCTGCGGGGAAACATCGAATAGTAACAGAAGAGCAACAAGTAAATATGAGGATCACCACAGTTCAATTGAAAATAGGAAGGGGAAATCATGCTGCGGGGTACAACAAGTATCAATAGGAAACCAACAATTTAGTGTAGAGAAACCGTAACACAGTTATCAATAAAAATTAGGAGATCAAAGACAAGTGCACGGCATCACCCTTCGTGCTTTTACTCTCTCTCACCAAAAATAATACATGGCATCACCCTTCGTGCTTTACGCTCTTCCTCACGCAAACAACAATCACAAGGAAAATAGGGTAAGGGAATCTATAACCTCGAAATAAAACCAAATAACAACAGAAAATCAGTAAATAAACGTAAAGGACAATATAACTCAATTATCAGCAAGAATCAGGGAAATCAAGGACAAATGCACGGCACCACCCTTCGTGCTTTTACTCTCGTCCTCACCATAAGAATCAATACAGTAGGCACAGAATGGTACATCGTGCGGCACGGCATCACCCTTTGTGCTTTACACTCTTTCCTCGCCATGAAATCAATATAATAGGCAAGGAATGGTACATCGTGCGGCACGGCATCACCCTTCGTGCTTTACACTCTTTCCTCACAAAACAAACAATGCACGACATCACCCTTCGTGCTTTAACTCTCTTCCTCACCCAAACAACAATCACAAACAATGGGGCGAGTGAATAAACAAGATTATAATAGGAATCCCGGCAAGGGAGCAATAATTAAATAATTAAATCCCGGCAAGGGAACAGCATCAACAATATCAACATCCCGGCAAGGGAGATAACCAAATAAGCAATAATATACCGGCTAGGGAACAATTTAATAACTCTTTCTCTTTTCACTTTTGCTTCACAACTCGCTTTACCACTTGAGCCAATGCTCCAAAGGGTTCAATCAATCACTTACTTTCACAAATTCGTAATATAACTTGAGCCATTGCTCCTCGATGTTCAAAAGTCACAATTTCTTCCTTACTTTTCACGACAAATAGAAATCACTTCTAAAGCATAGATTATTAAACAAAATCATGAAAATCACATTATAAGACTCACGGTCATGCTAGATACCAATGTATAGATACTCGTCACCATGCCTGTACGTCGTACTCAACAATAATCACGTAGCAAATAGGACTCGACTCCTAATCCCTCAAGCTAAGGTTAGACCAAACACTTACCTCGAACTTCCACGACCAGCTCAAGCCTCAAACACCGCTTTTCCTTTCAAATTCGGCTCCAACCCAATCGAATCTATACACAATTGACTTAACAACATCAATAAATGATAAGCTATCAAATTCCAATGCTTAATTATAGCTTTCTAATCATTCTTCCCAAAAACACAAAAATCGACCCCGGGCCCGCTTGGTCAAAACACGAGGTTCGGACCAAAATCAAATCACCCATTCACCCACGAGCCCAAATATATAATTATTTTCAGAATTCGACCCCAAAACGAGGTCTAAATTACAATTATTCAAAAAGCCCTAGTTCTACCCAAATTCCTAATTTTCTACCCTTATTCACATGATTTAGGCCTAGAAATCTAATGGGTGTTAATGAAAAATGAAGAAAACAAGTTAAAGATTACTTACCCAAAAAGATTTGATGAAGAAATGCTTCAAAAATCGCCTAAGAGCTTTGGAGAAGAAAGGGTTTGTGAAATTTTGATAAAATCCCGTAAGTGTTCTGTATTGGGTCTTTTAAAATCACTGGGCAAACTTGCCATTCGCGTTCGCGATGGGTAAGGCTAGTTAAACCTTCGCGTTCGCGTAAATGGGCTCGCGTTCGCGGAGAAGGATCCCCTCGAGCCCTCGCGTTCGCGTCCAATGGGTCGCGTTCGCGTAAGGTAATTACCCCTCCCCCTGCCCAGGCCCACTTTGGCCTTCGCGTTCGCGTGGCCAGGGCCGCGTTCGCGAAGGTATAAACCCCCATTGCTTCGCGTTCGCGACCTGAGCTACGCGTTCGCGTAGAAGGATTTTCCCTCCATCAAAATTTACACTTCGCGTTCGCGTAGGTACTCCCGCGAACGCGAAGAAGAATACATCAGGAACCCAACAGCTGAAAAACCTGTAATATTTTCTAAGTCAAAAACTTCCCGAAACACTCCCGAGCCCTCGGGGCTCCTAACCAAACATACGCACTAACTCAACAACATCATACGAACTTATCCATGCGATCAAATCGCCAAAATAACCTCAATAACCATGAATCAAATCTCAAAATCAAGAACTTTTTCTCAAACTTCATCAAGTATCAAATTTAGCAATTTAGGTCCGAATCACGCCAAACGACGTCCATTTTTCACCAAATTTTACAGAAACATCTTAAATCATATATAAGACCTATACCGGGCACCGGAACAAAAATACAGGCCCGATACCAATACGTTCTAATCAAATTTCATTTCAAATTTCCTTAAACAATTTCAGAAAATAATTTCCTTTAAAAATTCATTTCTCGGGCTCGGGACCTCGGAATTCGATTCCGGTTATATGCCCAAGTCCCATATTTTCCTACGGACCCTCCGAGACCGTCGAATTACGTGTCTGGGTCCGTTTACCCAAAACGTTGACCGAAGTCAAATTTATTCATTTTACAGTCAAAACTTATCATTTTTCACAGATTTTTACATATAAGCTTTCCGGCTACACGCCCGGACTGTGCACGCAAATTGAGGTGGCTCTTAATGAGGTTTTCAAGGCCTCGGAAGCACATAATTTAATTTTGAAACAAGTGATGACCTTTTGGTCCACATTTATAATTAGGATGAACAAAATAAATATCAAAATAGGTACTGTATACGTAGCATATAACCAAGCAAGTGATGATAAAGATATTAAACCAAATATAAGCAAAAGACTCAAGTTACTTTACACAAATTTGGCCACTCCAGACGTAAGTGATATCCATATCTCTACCGCCAAGAAGAAAAGCTCACCACCTCAAGGATATAATCTGCCTTATGATGCTCCGAGTGAACAAGATCTAACCACGGATATAAGAGCGTCGCCTTACATCGGAGATGAACACTCTGATACTTTCAAAGTATTTGCTCGAGATGGCAGAGTTTCGTGCTGATAACGTGTTATAAAATAACGACTTTAAAGTAAAGAAACCGAAGACAAGTATAGAGAGAGAATTATTATTCAACTTCAAATTCATGTCTATAATGAACTGAAATCTCCTCTATTTATAGAAGAAAGGAAGCTGCTATGTAAGCTACTTGTAAGCTGCTACTGCAAGCTGCTGTGTAAGCTGCTTGTAAGCTGCTACTGCAAGCTGCTTGTAAGTTACTTGTAAGCTGGTACTGTACCAGATATAGATAATCTTCTACGGGGGATAATAATTATCCATAACGGAGTACCAAAATGATAAGCTTCTTCAGGAGGCTTATTTCCAATAGAGTACCAAATAGATAAATATATTTACGGCAGAGTCCCATATGGATAAGCTTATCTACAACGGCATACTAAATGAACATCCATAATATAATATATATTTATAACAACTATCACTTTTTTAAACTGTTTTTTAAAGAAATCAAAGAGATAATATCAAGAATTGTCTTAATGACCACATGCTTTACCCAAATAATAATAACAATAATAAAGTCATAAGTCTAAGTTTTAACAGCTAGATGAGATAGTTCACGCAATTCAACAATATAACTTTGAACGGTTGACAGAGCTTATGTTTGGACTGATTAGGTATAAAATATGTATATTATATATTTATATACAAAAAATATATTATCTTATTATTAATTTTTTTTTGGGTGGGGCTTGATATACTGTATAATTTCCTTCAATTTTTACAGGTCAACTGGACCAGCTTATAAAATGAGTGGAGTACTATTTTGGAAGGGCTATACTGTATAATTTTTTTTTTAATTATTATTATTATTACTATTATTATTATCACAAATCAACTTGACCAACCTATAAAATGGGTACAAGAAGAGCACAAAGGTACAACTTTGAAATAAGAAATCAATAGCACAAAAAAAAACAGTGGAGGTTCCAACAATAGATTTAAGCAATCAAGAACTAAAACCAGGCAATGCATTGTGGGAGACCACAAAAACACAAGTTTTTCAAGCATTGCAAGAGTATGGTTGCTTTAAAGCAATATTTGATAATATCCCAAAAACAACTGAAGATGCCATGTTTGATGTTTCAAAAGAAATATTTGAGTTTCCATTAGAGACCAAACTTAAAAATGTCTCAAACAAGCCATTTTATGGCTACCTAGGACAATTTCCAAACCTACCATCGTACGAGAGTCTCTGTGTTCCTGACGTTTTCATTCCTGGAAGTGTTGAAAATTTTGCAAAAATCTTCTGGCCTGATGCTAATCCTGACTTTTGGTATGTGTATCTCTTTCAACGTCTTATGCTACTCTATAGGAAAGTGTGAAGGTCGAATGATAGGGTAGTAGGGCAGGTGGTTTAGATTGTTCATACCAATAGTATTAGTACGTACTCTCGTATTTTGTTGGTATTAGGTTTTTATGACTTTTCTTTTTCATTTTGGTCATCTTAATATCTTGTTATTTTGTATGGTGCTTTTACATGTCTTCTTGGTGCTGTCCCTTCTTGTCTGTCTTTTCATTAATGTGGTGCTGCTTTCCTGAGCCGAGGGTCTATTGGAAACAACCTCTCTATTTTCACAAGGTAGAGGTAAGGTCTGCGTACACACTACCCTCCCCAAACCCCACTCATGTGTGGGATTATACTGGGGATGTTGTTGTTGTTGTTGTTATCTCTTTCAACATCTTACATGTCCTTTTAGTTGTCACACGTATGTGTGCAAGTTACTCAAGGGAAACCTTGGAGCAACGGTGAAGTTGTCTTCGTGTGATCTATAGGTCAGGGGTTCGAGACGTGAAAGAAGCCACTAATGCTTGTATTAGGGTAGGCTGTCTATATCACACCCCTTGAGGTGCAGCACTTGCCCCGACCCTACGTGAATGCGGGATACTTTATGTACCATGTTGTCTTTTTATGTGTGCGAGTTACCGAAGGAAAGCATTGGAGCAACGGTAAAGTCGTCTCCGTGTGACCTATAAGTCATGGATTCGAGACGTGAAAGCAGACAATAATGCTTGCATTAGGGTAGAGGCCGTCTACATCACACCCCTTGAGATACAGCACTTCCCTTGACCCTACGTGAATATGGGATACTTTATGCACTGTGCTGTCTTTTGATGTGTGCAAGTTACTTTTGCAGCAATTTGGTTCATTCTTGCTCAAAGCCACTAGTGAAAGTGGATGAAATAGCAAAAAGGATGATATTGGAGAGTCTGGAGCTTCAAACTTATGTGGATGAATTGTTTGGATCTACTGATTATGTTTTTCGATTGACACGTTACAAAGCAATTCAAGGTGAAAATCTTGGGTTAGCTGGCCACACTGATGGTAACTACTTGACCATAGTATCCCAAAATGGCATAAATGGAGTCCAAATTCTCAATAAAAATGAAGAGTGGATTGATGTCAATATTTCAGAAAATTCCTGCATTGTCATAGTAGGAGATGCTCTCATGGTAAGTATTATTTCTATTACTTTCTTTGTCCGAATATATGTGTCATATTTTTTTTTAATTCATCTCCAAAAAAAATATCATACTTTCATATTCAGAAACAATTTAAATTTAACTTTTCTATTTTACTATTAATAAGATTATTTATATCATATAGGCTTCTAGCTCCCTTACCATGATAGTGGATTCTGGTTTTTAATAAAATTGTTTAAACCTATGCAGGCATATACAAATGGTCGACTGCGCTCGCCTTACCATAGGGTAGCTATGGTTGGGAACAAAGATAGGTTCTCTCTTCAACTATTTTCAGCACCAAATGTATTTTACAAAATAGAGGCCCCAAAAGAACTTGTGGATGATGAACACCCTTTACTTTTCAAGCCCTATGATCTTCTTGGTTATGCTCAGTATATTGCTATTAGAGCTAATCAGGGAGTTCCTAATGTGCTCAAGTCTTTTTGTGGTGTTTGATTTATTACAGTTTAAAATTTAAGCGTCAGCTTATGTTTTATGTTATGTTGTGCGGATTCTCCAAAATATTATCGTATCAGTGTCGAATTCCCAAAAAGTGTACTTTTGGAAAATTTGATACGCACTTGACGATATTTTTAAAGAGTCCGAGCATCATAGGTTTTATGTTGGTATGTTTGTTATGCATGATCTTCAATCCTCCAGATCAATATATCTTAAATAAAGGAGGATTTTATGAAGTTTTCCTAATTGTGTTGTGGCTTGTAACAGATAGTAGTATTGTGCTGTATAAAGGATTTTATGGTATTATCCTATTCGTGTTGTGGCTTGAAACAAGAAGTGTTATTTATGATTTTTCTTTTTTCATATTTTCCTATTTATGGTGTAGCTTATATAATATAATAACAAGGACATAGTATATATGCGGGAAAATTTCACATAAGAACAAAGCTTCCTACTTTTCAATTTTATAGCCCATATTTTAATTTACAACCAACTAGCCCAAAAATATAGGCTAAGATTCAACATCCAACTCCAATAGGTTCTCAAAATTACTATTTAATTTTTAAAAAAGATTGCTCAAGCTTTTAAGTTAATTTTCGAATCAGTAACTGTGACTCAAATATTAGTTCAACAAACCAAATCCATTTGGGTGGTGAAAATAAGATTTTTACAAGCTTAAATATGTGGGTTTAAATTTTGAATTTGATTTTGTGAGAAATTTGGAGTGGGTATTATTTAGACTTGTTAGAAATTGTATAAGGAGGTTGTATATAAAATTTGAAGTCATTTAATGGAGATTTGGACTGGTTTTGAACAAGAATTACAACTGAAAATCGTGGAAGAAGTTCGTCTACAGACGCTTGTATAAAGGTGTATAAAAGTGTATAATAGTGTATAAGTTGTGTTTATACACTCATATACACTATTATACAAGATTATACATAATTATACAAAAAACTGACGACGTCTTCTTCCTTGCGTCTTTTCTGAAATTTAACTCAAATCTTGCTTAAATCTACTCCAAATCACTTCAAATTTAAACTTTGAACACCTTTTGATATTTTCAATGAATTGGAACAACACCCAATCCAAATAACTAACAAACTAAAAAAATTCTATTTTTGAAAGCAAAGCTTTGAATGATCTTCAATGGTGGACTTTTACGTACTCTTCGATTTTTTACATTGCAACCAGATGATATAGAGAAAGAAGCAGTAATGGCGAACGTCAACTTGAATCATATGTAGAAGATGTGAGAAGAAGAGAGAGTGAAAGCAATGGTTGTGAGAACAAAGATTTAACTCCATAGCTTTTAGAAGCAATGGTTGTAAGAACACAAATTTTAAATTTGCAAGAGTTAGTGTTTTCAAAATATGTACAATATGGGCTAGGTAGGGTAAAACTTAAAAACATGGGCCATTTTTTGTTATGGTGTGAAGTCATGTGTATTTTCTTGTAATTCTTTCTACATATGTACAAAATATCTATGTACGATTTGGGGTGAAATTCAAAAATAGCCATATTTATAAGTGGTAATTGAAAAATAGCCATAATTTTAAACGTAACTGAAATTTAGTTATTTTTCATGTAAAGATAAATCTGAACGAAAACACTGTTCAAAATCCGGAAAATATTCCAGCATAATATACTGGATTTCCAGTATAATACTGGTCTAGCATAATATGCTGGAAGTTCATATACAGGTGCTCCAATCTCCACCATATTATGCTGGAACTTTTCGTGTGTTAGAGTTCCAGCATGAAGTTCATACACAGGTGCATCAATCTCCAGTTTATTATGCTGGAACTTTCCGTGTTGCAACAAAATAGTGCTATTTTTCAATAACTTTACAAACGCTGGCTATTTTTTAATTGTCAGTCCGAAAAGTTGCTAGCCGGTGCTATTTTCACTACGATTTGTGTACACTTTATTACTCGAGCCTAAATATATATATATGCAGTGAAGTGAAGATATCTCAGAATTATCTCTATGCAGCTACTACAAGAAAACGGGAATATTGTGGCGGTTTTTTCTTACATATGGCGGTTTTAACCGCTAGTATCAGCATTATTGGCGGTCTATCAAAAGCGCCGAAATCGCATCCGCCAAAAAGTTAATACGACAGTTTTCAGAAAACCGTCAGAAATCGATTCGATTTTGACCCTTATCGATAATTATCTATCGATTATCGATTTGTACATATACTTATCGTTATCGTTTCAATAAGGTTTCAATTTTTTCGATTTCGATTTATCGATTTTGGGGGCTTATCGATTCGGTTATCGATTACACCAATAAGAAAATTTGTGTGATTCTACGGAAAGTATATCGCTATAAACGCGCCTAACTAATATGGACAAAAAAAAGCTAAAATAAGACGAACACCATTTATAATATAAAAATTGTGTCAACAAGCACATGCAACAAAACTAAAGTAAGGGATCAAATGTATGCCACCAACACTCCAACGGTATTAAAAAAAAAAAAAAAAAAAAAAACATCATCACGGCTAATTCTGTTTTCCATTAATTTGAACTTCATTCCCTTGATCTTTAAATATGATCATTCCTTAAATGTGGTAGAGAAAATAATAGGGTAAGGGACTTAGGGTAAAGGAAAGGGTATAGATTTGGGAAAATAATATTGTATAGCCGCTTTCAAAATAGTAGCGGAATATATATACATTTTGTATGTTATATTAATCTACACAAATAGGTAATTACTCATTTAACAAGTGTCTACAGTCTAGGGGTGTGCATTCGATTTATCGATTCGATTTTGACCCTTATCGATAATTACTTATCAATTATCGATTTGTACATATGCTTATCGTTATCGTTTCAATAAGGTTTCGTTTTTTTCGATTTCGATTTCGATAACAAATAATCGATTCGATTTGTCGATAAACCGATTCGAATGCACACCCCTAATTAAAATGGCGGTTAACGGCGGTTTGAAACCGTCACAATTAGAAAGTTGATATCACAAACTAAAATAGTGGTGGTCCCCAACTTACCAATAGGCGCCGTAATTCTACTTTCCTATTTATAGTCCTTTTTGACATTGTTTTCATTATATTTTATACCCATATTTATATATTACTGTATAATAGTTTTGACACAATTTTAAAAAAAGATTAATTAAACAGATCATTCATCATTTATAAAAAGAATAAGCGATTCAAAATCACATCATAAATGTATTAATTAAAACTTCAAGGAGTAATACTTTACATCAATTCAACAGAAGGAAAATAATTATGATAAATCCTAGAAATAATATTCAATGAGCACTTGCATGATGGCTTTGCTGAAATAGAGTCCGGAACCAAAATGTGATTTTTTTGGATTCAAAATACTTTTTTAGGTGGAAAAAAAAAGTTACCATTCTATATAAAACGCGGTTATGAACCACATTTTACCTTAACGGCCGTTTGGGACGTTAAGGTAAAGCGCGGTTTGTTACTGCATTTTATATAAAACGCGTTAAAGAACCACGCTTTACCTGGAAGCTGATAAGACGGCTATATAAAGCGCGGTTCATTACTGCGTTTTATATAAAACACAGTAATAAACCGCGGTTTATATATATAAATAATCGTCCCCTTCCCTTTCCCCCACATTCTGCCCAGATCCCTTCCCCCTTCCTTTAAAAAATTACAGTGGTCGACCCCTTCATTAACGACCCAAAAAGCTCGTGTGGACCCCACCCGTCCCGTAAAAAGTAGATATTGTTGGTCCCACATCCTAGCCAAGCCTTCTATTGTTGTGGGTTGCTTGTTTCGGAGTCAAATTCTCAAATCTTCAACTTTCCGAAAAACATAAATCGAGGTATTCCGATTTAGTTTATGTCCAAACTCGTATAAATAATGCATAGTAGTTGTTTTGAATGTGTTGTATGTTGTTTTGTATTTTTTTGCGATTAAATTGGTAGTTATTAATGTTGTAAAAAAATATGTAAAAATTGTGAAATCGTTATTATTTGTTAATAAATTACTATAACTATTTTATATGTATTTTTGTGAATGTTTTGTGATTATAATGTATTTGTTGTGTTTTATCTGGTTTAAATTATTTATTTGCTTAAAGACTAGTAATATAGTGCCCTTTTAGGATAGTAAAATGTAATGCCTTTTAGCGTAGTAAAATGTAGTGCCTTTTAGCGTAGTATAATGTAGTGCCTTTTAGCGTAGTAAAATGTAGTACCTTTTAGCGTAGTTTCCCTATAGTTTAAGTATCTCTTATACTCAAAAATACGTCAAAATAACTGATAGATCAAACACAAACTCTGTCCAATTATAGTCAACATATAATTGGTGCTACTGGGCTGCAAATATCGAGCCTGAAACCTATATATGAATATTTAATAATTAAATATTATATAATTATAAAAATTAATTATTTAATTTACAAACAAACATATAAATTACAAAACTAACATCGAAAATAATAAAACTAACAAATAGAAGAATTCAGGATAAATTGGTGCTACTGGGCTCCAAATATCGAGCCTGGAACCCATATTGTGAATATTTAATAATAAAAATTAATTATTTAATTTACAAACTAACATAAAAAATTATAATAAAACTAACACATACAAGAATTCAGGATATCTTGGTGCTACTGGGCCGCAAATATGGAGCCTGGAACCCATATATGAATATTTAATTATAAAAAATATATAATTATAAAAATTAATTATTTAATTTAGAAACAAACATATAAATTTATAAAACTAACATGTAAAATAACAAAACTAACACATAAAAGAATTCAGGATATCTTGGTGCTACTGGGCCTCCAAATATCGAGCCTGGAACCCATATTGTGAATATTTAATAATAAAAATTAATTATTTAATTTACAAACTAACATAAAAAATTATAATAAAACTAACACATAAAAGAACTCAAGATATCTTGGTGCTACTGGGCCGCAAATATGGAGCCTGGAACCCATATATGAATATTTAATTATAAAAAATAATTATTTAATTTACAAACTAACATGTAAAATAATAAAACTAACACATAAAAGAAATCAGGATAAATTGGTGCTACTGGGCTCCAAATATCGAGCCTGGAACCCATATGTGAATATTTATTTATAAAATTTTATTATTTAATTTAGAAACTAACATATAAAATAATAAAACTAACACATAGAAGAATTCATGATAAATTGGTGCTACTGGGCTCCAAATATCGAGCCTAGAACTCATATGTGAATATTTATTTATAAAAATTAATTATTTAATTTATAAAGTAACATATAAAATTATACTAAAACTAACACATACAAGAATTCAGAATATGTTGGGGCTACTGGGCCACAAATATCGAGCCTGGAACCCATATGTGAATTTTTAATGATTAAATATTGTATAATTATAAAATTTAATTATTTAATTTACAAACTAACATATAAAATTATAAAACTAACATGTAACTAATGTTGTTTAATTTACAGTAGACGACATGGAGGTGCCGCCTATTCATCCCGGACCTTCCAGCGATGAGCTACTGTCTTTACAGGGCGATCATAGGTCCGCCCACATATGGGAGGTAGAGTTACTGACCCAGACTCTCCGCGTCAGGAGAGTGAACGGCATTTGGGACTTTCTGCATGACAGAGTACTCCATGACCGTGTAGTCACACGCTTGTGGGAGACGGGCTTCTACAGGATTTTGGAGATCGGGCGGCTGCATCTCGATTGGTCTTTGGTCACGGCCCTGATAGAGCGGTGGCGACCGGAGACGCACACATTCCACCTGCCCATTGGCGAGGCCACCATCACACTGCAGGACGTGGAGGTTTTATATGGGCTGCCTGTTGATGGACAGCCCGTTGCTCTGCCGCCTGGCATGAGAGAGATGACACGTGTGCGGTACCTGGACATGCTGCAGCGGCTCACTGCTTTCCGGCCAGAGGATGAGAATGTACTGGCTGGGACAAGTCGTTTTCCGTTGACGACTATTCGACAGTGGTTGGAGGCATTGCATCCTGACATCGATGACGATATACCGGATTATCATGTTGACAGGTATATGAGGTTGTTGCTACTCCTTATGTTTGGAGGGGTCTTGTTCCCGAACACTTCGGAGAACTTAGTCAGCTTGAGATTTCTTCATCATCTTGAGCGGCTAGATGATTTACCCCAGTACAGCTGGGGCGCTGCTATTGTTCCTAATTGTTAAAGTATTTAAAATTGGGAAAAGATAATTTATTTACACTGTTGTCTTGCCTAGCTTTCATTAGTAGGCGCCATCACGACTCCCGAGGGTGGAAAATCCGGGTCGTGACAGTGGGACTCGTGCACTCTTGGTCTAACGAGAGGTGGAGCACGCTCCCTCGTCAGCTCAGGTTCGACATTCACTTCCTCCTCATTATCACCCTCGTCAGTGAAGGGTGTGTCATCTCCAGACTCATCGGCATTGTTGTCATAATCACTATTATCTTCCTGACTCTGCGCATCTGCCAAATCCCGAGTAAATACATCGTCTACGGGCAACTGAGTGAGGTCAGGACCACCAAGTTGCTCGTTTTCACCGCACAAACAACAAAATGATAAGCTACTCAAATTGATAAATACTTTACATATAGCTATATCACTTCACTTACAAGTCGTAATGTGTTGACATTCCATGATGGACATTATCCTATTGGTGATGACTCCCGGATGGACTACCGTGATCCAACACACCAAAACTACGCATATTCCAACTGGGCGTGGGGTCATAACTTGTAAAGTCATATCTGGACGGTACCCCCTGTGGAATATATGAGTGTTAATACAAATTCAATACAACAAAAATAAACATCGTAACACAAAGGAAAATTGAAGTATACCAGTCGTCTTGTAGATTATGTAAAGTAGGAGATCATCGTTCGCCTGTGGAGATAAGTTTAGATCCGGCCAAACTCTTTCAGCCGGAACCTTTTAGGCTAAAACTGCTCCAGAATAACCACCCGATGATTAAGGGATATCTCTGCTTTGTGCAACATCATTATTGCGAACGTCTTATACCTTCACGTACATTTCCAATATTTTTATCAAAATAAGTTCCCGGTATTCATCCGGAGTCCCCAAAAAATCTCTTAGAGTTTCATCATCTTCGATGTTAAACTCAGCGTAACAAGCAACCCCTTGCGGAGTCACAAAATACGAATATCTTTCGGTTATTTTAAGATTCACCGAACGTTTGCTCAACCTCATTTTATTGCATAACAACGATACCAGTCTATCGTACTCCCTTGTAAGTGGCAACTTAACATAACTTTGTGGAGATAAACTATACCTCACTAAGTTATTCGCCACCACAATCTCACTCCATCCCCCCCTCCAATATAATGAAACCCTTACTTTTCCCTCTTCAGACATTATGAAAAAAGCTTGAGAATTTAACAAAGAAAAATTTATCACGAAGTTGGAGTATTTCTGAATGATTTTTCTCAAAACCCTTAACACCTTTAAATAAGGCAATGCCCAATCTGGGGCGGTCAAATTTTTGAAAGTAAAACGCAGTTTAAAAGGGCGTTTTACATATTTGAATTATTGTTATGTCAGTTAAGCGCAGAAGAGTTATTGGTGGGCCCACAAAACATGTAAAGCGCGGTTCATTACTGCGTTTTATATAAAACGAAGTAATGAACCGCGCTTTATATAGCCGTCTTATCAGCTTCCAGGTAAAGCACGGTTCATTAACGCGTTTTATATAAAACGCAGTAATAAACCGCATTTTATCTTAACGTCCCAAAAGGCCGTTAAGGTAAAACGCGGTTCATAACCGCGTTTTATATAAAATTGTAACTTTTTTTTCCACCTAAAAAAGTATTTTGAGTCCAAAAGAACCACATTTTGATTCCGGACTCTTGCTATTTCCATCTGGTGATCTGGTATTTTTAGGTGTTGGGACGCTATTTCTTATATCCAGTACCTACAACATAAATTGAAACAACAAGCACAAAATAACTCCAAGGATAAAAGTAGAAAACCAATATAATAAATACATCAAATACAATTTGTGCTATAGCTGAGTTTCATTATGATCACACCTGTAGCAAAATAAATTAAAGAAAAAAACTATTCAGCTCAATTGGACTGAGGCATACATAAGAATAAGATCAGTCCGCAATACACATACAAAAAGAAAAGGAAACATAGCATAGGAAGGAGAACGTATTGACCTTGGAGCACAAACACAAATGAGACTCGCCAAGCTTCCTCAAGACCCTGCACAGCCTTGCTGACTGCATTCCCAACATTATCTGCAAATTCAATTAATTTTCAATTCACAGTTTTACAGTGTGCCAAGTTTGCATAGTTGAGAAACCAAAAAAAGCGATATTAATCCCAGAAAAATACCCCAAATGAGTAAAAGATTATCCCACAGGTAGGATATTAATCCTTCAACAGTTTTCTTTCTGGGATAATTTCTCGATTTGTGCGTATCATCTTCCACGCAAGGACGATGCTAATCTTCTCTGCATCATTCCTCAAAGGGACATGTGTCCTTCAATAGGTGTGTACTCTAAGCTTTGGTCCCAAGAGTTTAATTTGAACTTGTTGCTAGGAAATTTTGTCAAAATGCTGTTATAAGGTGCTGATGTGGTGCCTAACTGCTAGGATTTTGTAGTGTTTTACTTTCCAATTGAACAATTACTATTATGAACTAAATTAAATAGTAGTACAACAGCAAAGTTTGTAGATTACAGGAACTTAGGCTCTAACTTTAGTAATCTGACTCTGATTCTCTTTGTATTAAATTCAGTTTGAGATAGTCCAATGTGCTTGAGAAGAGGCTTTTTAAGTACATAATGCTCAATGCAGTTTGGCTTCTATCTCTGAAATTGCATTATGCACTGAGTTTCACCTCAACTGAATGTGGGAGAGTGAGGTCGGGGATAAACTGGCTATTAAGTGGGAGATACTTGTGATAGAAGAATTAATCTAATTAGTCGCTCACTCAACTTCTTAAATTATAAATAGTCGATAGATATATAACATATGTATTCTCTGTGTATAAATAGTGGATAGCTAATAGAGATAGATGACTAATCACTACTGTATCATTCCAAATGACACTACAATTAATTCAGGCAGACTAATTATTCTTCAACTAGCAGTTCCATAGCTCGCATAAGAATTTATAGCAGTAAATGACAATAAAACACCACTCCAAAATATAACCTTAAACACCCAAAACTAAGGATCCTCGCATCCCTACCCTAATTGACCAAAAGAACTTCTAGCAAATTTCAATCATAGAAAAGTCAGTTCCTTACCACACTGGATACACAAAATCTCTGGAAAAATAAAGCGAAGACCGGATCTAACAACTAAAGTGACGGAACATTGCATAACCACAAAGAAACCATAGATCCACACAGATACCTACACGCACATAAGCAAAAAGGATAGGAAATAGAAAGATCTGGCTGAACTTTCTTTGGAATTGGGAGTTGCCATCAACAAAGGCGGACGAAGATTAGCGAACTCCTTCGCGAGCTTCATCAGAGACCTGGCGAGAAGAGGAGACGGAAAGGAGAGGAGAGGGAGTCGCCGACTACGACGTGATACACAAAACTCAGAAGAAGTTCATTTGGCCACGTCAGCAGCTGATGAGTAGGCTAATTTGAAAGTTAGTTATGTTAGTTGTTAGTTAAAATTTGAATATTAGCTATTGGCGGGAAATGTAGTTAGCATGTTTTAGCTCACTTCCTAGCTCATTTCTCTTGTTTTGTTTTTGCATTTTCAGTAGACCATTGAGTAGTATAAATGTCTATGCCCCCTTTTTCTCGCGAAATTGAGTTTATGATATTGGGAGGACAGCTCGTTTCCTTTTGGGAATTGGGTTTGAATTGAAGAGTCGCCACCTAATGATTAAGTGCATTAGGACACTAAGAAGAACTTTGATTTAGAAAACCAGAGATTGGGTAAGGGCTTGAAATTATCCCGCGGGGAAGGTGTTAGGCACCCCTCGAGATCCACTAGTGTGGTTCCCGGCCATACTATAATTGTGACTTTAAGTTCAAACAACAAACAGACAAATAGGAGTTACAAATATGAGGGGGGAGGGGTTTTTACATAATTGTTGCAAGTAATTGCAGTTAAACGAAGTCAAAGAAACTGAAATTTGAGAAGAAGCAGTTTTAAAATTTTGAATAAACAAGTAAAAGAGGGGGATTTTCACATAATTGTGGTAAGTAATTAAAAGAAGCTGAAGTTTGAAAAAAAAAAAGTAGTTTTGAAATTCTGAATAAAATAAACAAGTAAAGGAAGGGAGGTCCTAGGTTTATAAATAATATGGATCACCCCACACAACACCCGGTAACCGTTTATACACGTGGTCATCATATCCATATCTACTCTTTCCCACCCCATTAAGGTATTAAAGCGCGGAATAGTCTCGTTTTCTTATTGCATGATATTACCCTCCCCAATCCTATCAGCCCCGGAGGTATTTGGGACTACTAATCCTAAAGGGAAGGGGTGTGAGGTTTTATAGTTTTAAAGGACAAAATTCTAAGGCGACAATCAAAACACATATGTAACAAATATGAGAAGCACATAACAGATAGAAAGGCTCGGACAAACCTCCTTAAAAATAAAAAGAAGCATATAGTTTAGCATGTCTTACACGTACTGATTAGGGTCTGATTAAACTTAAGAGTTGTGGCAAACTGATCTATTACATATTTCAGATAAGAAGCCCGAATCAGGCATGCCTGCTGGTTATAGTTAATAGAATCTGATTCAATTTACAAGTTACCCTATGGCTTGCCTAAGTGTTAAACGAAAACCTATAGGCATGATATCTATTAGTTTCTGAAAAGAAGTATATTTTAAGGGAAAGAAATTGTCAATTACAGGAATATAAATTCTGTAGTCGTTATTGTTGCTACTGATTTTAGACTCATAAGCGAATGGACGATTCAGATTTAGTTGATGGTTCCTATAGGCATGCTTTCTAGGCGTTACTGATTTAAAATAATTTTAAAATCGAAACAAGAGTGCAGAAGTCCTATAGGCATAGTATCTAA